TCCAGGCAAATGGGATAAAAGCATGTATAAAATATCTAATTTGTGCTTTGCACATAATGGGCATCAACATACAGTAGGAAGATAAACAGAGTAATGGGCTTTTTACTGGAACTGCATCCCAGCTACCTAAATATGACTTTTTGAGCCAGAAGTCCCAGTTCATATTTGTGAAAGAGAAAAGTCTAAATTGAAAGAAATGATCCAAACTAAAGGTGGGAGTAAGCAAAATTCTAAATACATATTATACGCAATAACAAAAGTAAAAACTTCCATTTTAAAATATCATATATATTATGTTGAACTTTCCGGGAAACTGAGCAAGAAGGGTGCTACAGTATTCTACAGATGAGAAACAATGTCGGAGGAAGATTATTACTTGCCTGCAGTCTAACAGCATATCAATGGGAGAACTGATATTTGAACTCAGTAGAACTAACATATGGATACTATGTATTGTACTATGCATTGTGGAATAACCATAAAAAGATCTACCACAAATAAACACTATAGATAGGTATATATAAATCAGGGAAAAATTGAGGTACTGGGAGAACAGAGAAAGGTACACAATCCAGATTAGGGGTAGGAAGGGGTTGGTCCTCGGTGAAAAGATTATTTTCGCTAAAGTAAGAGAAGTCAATGTATTAAAGCAAATGCCTATCTTCTCTTAACTGCGAACGGCTGAAGAAAACATTACACTATCAAAGACAGTAACCTCAATTGGCTCCCCTAAATTGCCTGGCAAGCCTCTGAGGTTTCTTTAGTTTTTTCTCTTCTCTATTCTTTTACAATTGCTATTTTCAGTATTCTTCACTTTTCTAAAAATCGTATGTACCCTCTCCCAATTTCCTTTATTCTCAGCAAATGACCCTAACTGCCACTTCATAGAGAGAAGGCATCATGTGAGATCTCCTCTGAATTCTTCCACCAATTTATTTGTCTTCATCCTTTCTCAGTGCTCTTCCACTAAAGGCCAATCCTTCTATCTCAGTGTACCCCTCTCAGAGAGTTTATGCTGTCAATATTGCCTTCTTTCCCTCCCACCTTATTGCCTTTTTCCATCAACACTGAAAAATACTCAGGTTCTTCTTTCTAAAAAGTAACCCTTCTCTCCAAATTTAAACCTTATCTACCTACATCAACCACTCTATCTTTCCCCTTCTTGGCCAAACTTCTTTAGAGAAGTACTTGCTGCCTGTATTTCATTTTGGGCTAGCTCTTCAACTCAAAGCAACCTGGCTTCTGTCCCTCTACTCTCAGTAAATCACCACTTTTTCAAAAAATACCTCTCTCAGTTACCTGCTCCCATAGCACCCTCTAATTGCCCTTTACATATTTATTAAACTTGCAATTACTTAATCAAAGGCTGTTGCCCCCACTAGACTGTAAGCTCTAATAGGGTAGGACTTGGATCTACACCCAGCTTCTTCAGCACACAGGTGCTCACCAGTATTAAGTCTGGATGAGATCACCATGACCTCCTTTTGGCTGAACCCAGTGGTCCCTTTAACACTAACTTAAAAATCCTCTTTTTGATCATACATTCTTCCTTAAACACTCTACTCACCATTCTTTTCTTTATGCTTTCAATAAATATTAATTTAACGTGGCAAATAAACAAATATTTCGTTAGCATGCTAACTACATACTAGGCACTATTCCAGAATATAGAGATATGGCAACAAATAAGATGATGAATAAGACACAAGATCTTAAGGAAACACATTTTAGCAGAAGAAATAGATGTAAACAAGCAAACACAGCAGATCATTTGAGATGATGTTATTATGTGTTAAAACAGGATTATGTCATGGGAGTGTAACAACTATGTAAGATAGTCAGGGGAGCCTCTGTGACAGGGTAGCATTTAAGCTGATTCCTCAAATATGAGAAACAACCAATCATGTCAAGATGTGGGAGAAGGGGATTCCCAGCAGAAACAGGAGTAGAAGCGGGGCCCCTGGTTCTCCACTCCCTCTATTCACTCTCCCTGGGCATCACATCTGTATCCTTTCTACAGTTTACCACGAGTAACCTGGAGACTCATAAGCCTAAATCTCCATGCCAGCTCTCTCTTTGGAGAGCTCAGTACTCAAATGCCCATGCCTATTCAACATCTCCACCTGGATATTTCACCAGTACCACAAGTTCAGTGTAACCCAAAAGTGAAAAATTCTCAACTCAAACCTCACTTTCTGTACTCTCCTAGCTAAGTGAACTATACTTATACTGTAAACTGTCAGTTACTAAAGCTGACATCAAAATATCCTTGATTCCTTCTTTCCCCTCTTCCATCCAATATATTAGCAATCATAGTGACTTAACTTCCAAAAGATACTTCAAATTTGTTCACTTCTTCCATCCTCACAGCCACTATTAGTCCATGGCACCGTCTTCTTTAACAAGATTACTGAACCTTAGGTTGGTATTGCTTCAAGTCTTGAGCCCGTGAAACTCTCCACATTGCAGGCTACGCCTAAACATTTTCAATTATTCTCCAGTATCCTTTGCATGGCTTCACGGCATGATCTTTGCTAATGACATGTGCCTTCATGTGGCTGGCATACAACATGCATTTAAATAGCTGCTGGCTGACTGAAAATAGCTTTCCAGTTACATGTCTCACTATTCTCTTGCCCCTAGTCCTCTGCACTATACAATTCCCTCTGCCAAGAATCGTAATTCTACTTTTTTTCTACTTGGCTATCTCCTGATGATCTCTCAAATGGCGTTCCCTTTGGGTAAGTACTCTTTCGAAAACCTTGACAATCCCAGCACTCAGTGGAATGCATCCCTCCAGACTAGGTAAAGTATTCTGCGGTACGATTGCATCATTACCTACACCACTTTTATCACAGTATCCTTGTATTATTGTATGTGTTCATCTAACGTTTGCCTTTCCCCAAGAAACTGGAACCATTTATATCTTATTCCTAACTCTATTCCTAACTCTTATAATAGTATTTGACATGTAATGAGGGCTGAACAGACATTTGCTGCACTCATGCATACATGATTTGCTCTTACATATTTACAACTATTCATGTTTGAATCCTTATTCCAAAATCATTTTTATTTGGAAGAACGAGTCCTATGAAGAATAGGAACAGAAATTTACGAGAGCACAGAGAACATAATGGACAGAATTTCAGAGATTATTACATGTTTAATTTTTTTTTCGTGGGGGAAGGGGAATGAAGTCTCACTCTCGTCGCCCAGGCTGGAGTGCAATGGCATGATCTCGGCTCACTGCAACCTCCACCTCCCGGGCTCAAGCGATTCTCCTGCCTCAGCCTCCTGAGTAGTTGGGATTACAGGCACCTGCCACCACGCCTGGCTAATTTTTGTATTTTTAGTAGAGATGGGGTTTCACCATGTTGGCCAGACTGGTCTTGAACTCCTGACCTCAGGTGATCCACCCCACCTGGCCTCCCAAAGTGTTGGGATTACAGATGTGCGCCACTGTGCCCAGCCTAGATTGAAATTTTTTAAAAAAATTGTGACTATTTTATTTCCAACCTTTCCTAATATAAACCCCAAATTCTACCACTGACCGATAAAAGCATTATCAGAAATGCTTAAAATCTTAAAATCTCTGATATTAGCAAATTTTCCACCCTCTTCCTTTTCTAAGCCTATTACTACAGTCTTTATTTAAGTGCTTAGAGGTTCAATTCTGGTAACTCTTAGGAGAGTTACTGATAATAATAATAACTACATATATATATTTTTACTTCGCAGTTGAAATAAAATAATTGTGGATATGTCATTGAGAGCTATTACTAAAACTGAAAAAACAATGAATAGTTTTTTTCTATTTATTCATCACCTGAAAATGGATAATAATTATTAGCAACTCTTATCACAATAAAACTCTGTAAGACATAGCAAGTGCTGTTATGTAAAATACTATTTGTGTCATAAAAGAAAACTGATATTTTCCTGCATCTTTGATGTTGCAGTGAATGCAAAGCTTATTTTAAATTTTAGATCGGTACTACTGGCTAACATGATTAGGTCACAAAATATCAAAACGAGAAATATAAAATAAGATAAATTGTTATAAAAACAGAAGATATTTCTCAAAATATAATACAGTGATGGAAAAAATGAATAATACTAAGTGATATTTAATTTTTAAAACTTGGGTATTTATAACATATAGAAACTAATTTTCAAGGACTATTCTTTCACAACTCCCTTTCTTGAAAAAGATAAATTTTATATACAGTAAGCATTATTTCCTCATTAATCTAAAGCTGGTTTCAAATATGAAATAAATAGGTCATGCCAAATAATCATCATATTCCAAAGAATGCAGCGTATCATACAAGAAATTCAAGTTGTAAAGTTTGCAGGTCTTGAGTTGATAGAAGCTATACATGTCACATGGTGACAGCTAAATCTATTTTATTGTGTCCACTGCCAATAAAGCACTGCAAAAATAATAATTAACAACTATTTACCACAAAATGGTAAATATAATAATGCGTTCAAAAGTAATTTTACTTATTGTTTTAATAATAGAATATATACATTTCTACCCGAGAGAGATATATTTGCTATATTTAATATCCCTCACATTTTCAGTTGGATATTGAATGAGTGACATATTCAGATAAAACTGTTTCACATGGACTGAGGAGAGGCTGAAGGGGTAAACACCGAGCACTGCTCTGAAAACAGATGGAGTGGCAGATGGGATTGCAGATTGGGTTCACTTGATCTGTGTAAAACAACTTTACTACTCAGTAAAATGTACTTCAAATCTCACCAAACCTTATAAAGTTTGTCCCTTTATTTCATGCATGGCTTTTTCTTCAAAAATAAATGTTTAGCATTTTAAACTTTGTTAAAGTTTAATTAAGTACCTGTGTGATAAATTAGTTAACTAAAAGATATTTTCTTCCACATTTTTGGAACAGATGGTAGGAAAGAGCAATTGCCCAGTGGAATAAAATGTACACTGACTAGTTGTTCAAAATTGTAAAATTAATTACCTTCCTTCATTGATGAGCTCTATAAATGCAAGTCCTGCATTCTTCTGAATAGAGTTTTGCCATTCCTAAAAGGAGAAACCAAAACAAATGTGAGAAAAGTGAACATTTAAATGAGTAACATCTGGTTTAGGGATCACGTTGATGTTGTTAATAACTTCCAATTATATTATTTCCAAATGTCTTTACAAGATTCTAACAAATGTTATTTTGTAAAAAATCAAATTTTAGTTTTATCACTTAGTTTAGAAGGTGCTTTTGGTTCATCAGAAAATGTCAGGCTGGATGCAAACTGAGATGGAAAGTGAGACGCAGGTATAGAGGGCTCTGAGCACATAGCTTCTTTCCAAAAGAGAGCAAATGACCAAAAGAGGCCTGATGTGTCTACACAAGGACTAGAAACACTTGAGATAGAAAACTTTTATCTCCTCATATAGAAATTTTACATTAAGATAATAAAATGAATACTAGAAATATAAACTATTAGAAACATAAACATATTTAAATTGACTTGGAAGTGAAATGTTCTAGTTATATGTGCATTCCGAATTACTTAATGCTAATTATTTAATGCTAATTAGAAAAAAGTTACAAATTAACTTTTTTGAAAATTGTAAAAAAATAGAGTAAACCTATGGCTAAATATGTAATAGATAACTATGTAATCTCTCTTTGCTAATTTAGATTAGAGTATGTTTGTGAATTTGGCAGTTCTCAAGGTCAGGATCATCATTATGAACATAAGTGATTATAATGAAGTGTTTTAGATTAGAAAAGCATACGCTTATTTTATGCTCTTTAGAATAAAAATTACACACTTGTTTCGGTTTATGCCAGTGATTTCTATTTTGGGGGTTTTAAATATATACATATTTTTGGGTTTTAAATACATATATAAATATATATATTTCAGGTTAAATACATATAGAGGTTTTAAATATACATATATGTGTGTGCATATATATATATCTGGTAAAAAGCAGTGTTTTGGATTGAAAATTATATCCCTTCCAATGGTTCTATAAGTAAATACTCCCCAAAGTTCCCTAATGCATTTTAATAGAAAAATCTTTATTGACCAGTCATGGCCCTCTATATATTCCCCTCCCCATGATTTTCCTCATAAGGTGTTGGTTGTACAGAGGTGACTGGCTGCCCTGGCCATGGGTTCAGCTTTACAAAAAACACAGTTTCTGTGTCAACCCTTCACTCTACTCCTGATTCCTTTACCTTTAAAGAAATTACACTCATTCCGAAAATAAATATGGTCCCCAAAAGTATTTGTGTGCGTGTAAATATTCTCTGCTCTAAGTAAATGTGTGCTGAATTATAGAAGAACAAATCCTCAATCTCCCAAGGAGAGAAAATCAACAACTAGTGAAAAGAGATGTGGTAACTTGGGGATAGTACAAAGCCACTGGGTTCTAGCTATCATAACCTTTAACTAAAATTTATCCAAATGACAAGATTGCTATTCCATTGTACAGAACTTACTGAAACTTTCAAACCAATTCTGTATAAAACAATTGCAGGAAATTTCTTTTCCCAAATTTTTACAAAATTTAAAGCCTCTTTAATATTCTCATTCTATATTCTGTATTTATTGGAAATGAGGATCCTACAAAATATGTACACTTCTCAGAAATACTTCATATTCATTGGGATATTAACTTAAAGAGAAAACTGATTTTTACATAAGTAGACCCATGTCACTATGAAGACTAGATTATTACAACTTCTTACACATGATTTTCTGTGATAGTGTTTGTACACTAAGACTCTTTAGTCACCATAAACTTATAATATGAATAAGATTTTTCAGTAAGATATTTCACAGAGTACATATTTAGGTATTACATCTGCATCCCAAATTATGCCTTGTCAAAAAAATCACAGAGTAAATTATCTTTGAATCAATCTAAATTATATGGAATCTGCATACAGCCCATGAGATGTACTAATTTACCTTTGGTGGAGGAACAGTAGAAGGAAGTCTGAGCTACACTAAGGAAATTAGAGTTTAAAGTTTGAGAAAGCCAATGAAAGACTTCATTCAATAAATCAGTGTTTTAGAAGAGTAATTTGTCAGTTTTGAGCAAGAGGAAATTGTAGGAGATTGTTGTTACATGCCTTTCCACAAGAGAAATATTAGGCGTCTAAATGAGTATTTCAAATAGGGAATAAAAAATAAGAGATGTTACAAAGAAAAGATGCCAAGACTAGATGACAATCTGAATTTAAGAGCTGATATAGAGAATTTGAGATAAAATAATTATTAAGTTTTCAATGTAGATGACTAGGATAATGGTAATATTATTATGAAAATACTGAAGAATACATTTGGGGAAATCACAAACACTGTTGTCTGAATTTGTTGGATTTACAGCGGCAATGGTATATCAAAAAAGAACGTGAATGGGGGCGCCCAAGATGGCCAAACAGGAACAGCTCCAGCCTCCAGCTCCGAGCGTGAGCGACACAGAAGATGGGTGATTTCTGCATTTTCAACCAAGGTACAGGGTTCATCTCACTGGGGCATGTCGGACAGTCAGTGCTGGTCAGTGGGTGTAGCCCAACCAGTGAGAGCTAAAGCAGGGTGAGGCATCGCCTCACCTGGGAAGTGCATGGGGGAAGGGAATTCCTTTTCCTAATCAAGGGAAACTGAGGCACACAACACCTGGAAAATCAGGTAACTTCCACCCTAATACTGTGCTTTACCAAGGGTCTTAGCTAACGGCACACCAGGAGATTATATCCCACACCTGGCCCAGAGGGTCCCATGCCCACAGAGCCTCCCTCATTGCTAGCACAGCAGTCTCAGATCTAACTGCAAGGTGGCAGCGAGGCTGGGGGAGGGGTGCCCGCCATTGCTGAGGCTTAAGTAGGTAAACAAAGACCCTGGGAAGCTCAAACTAGGTGGAGCCCACTGCAGCTCAAGGAGGCCTGCCTGTCTCTGTAGACTCCACCTCTAGGGACAGGGCATAGCTAAACAAAAAGCAACAGAAACCTCTACAGATGTAAATGTTACTGTCTGAGAACTGTGAAGAGAGCAGTGATTCTCCCAGCATGGAGGTTGAGATCTGAGAACGGACAGACTGCTTGCTCAAGTGGGTCCCTGATCCCTGAGTAGTCTAACTGGGATACATCCTCCATTAGGTGCAGACTGATACCTCACACCTCACACGGCTGGGTACACCTCTGAGACAAAGTTTCCAGAGCAAGAATCAGACATCTATACTTGCTGTTCAGCAATATTCTATCTTCTGCAGCCTGCGCTGCTGATACCCAGGCAAACAGCGTCTGGAGTGGACTTCAAGCTAACTCCAACAGACCTATAGTTGAGGGTCCTGACTGTTAGAAGGAAAACTAACAAACAGAAAGGACACCCACACCAAAACCCCATCAGTACATCACCATCATCAAAGATCAAAGGTGGATAAAACCACAAAGATGGGGAAAAAGCAGTGCAGAAAAGCTGGAAATTCAAAAAATTAGAGCTCATCTCCCCCCTCCAAAGGAACGCAGCTCATCGCCAGCAACGGAACAAAGCTGGTTGGAGAATGACTTTGATGAGTTGAGAGAAGAAGGCTTCAGTTGATCAAACTTCTCAAAGCAAAAGGAGGAACTACGTACCCAGCAAAAAGAAATTAAAAACCTTGAAAAAAGAATGGAAGAAGGGATAACTAGATAACCAATGCAGAGAAGTCCATAAACGAACTGATAGAGATGAAAACCATGACACGAGAACTATGTGACAAATGCACAAGCTTCAGTAACTGACTCGATCAACTGGAAGAAAGATTATCAGTGATTAAAGATCAAATGAATGAAATGAAGTGAGAAGTTTGGAGAAAAAAGAGTAAAAAGAAATGAACAAAGCCTCCAAGAAATATGGGATCATGTGAAAAGACCAAATCTACATCTGATTGGTGTGTCTGAAAGTGACAGGGAGAATGAAACCAAGTTGGAAAACACTCTGCAGGATATTATCCAGGAGAACTTCCTCAACCTAGCAAGGCAGGCCAATATTAAAATTCAGGAAATACAGAGAATGCCACAAAGATACTCCTCAAGAAGAGCAACTCCAAGACACATAATTGTCAGATTCACCAAAGTTGAAATGAAGGAAAAAATGCTAAGGGCAGCTAGAGGGAAAGGTTGGGTTACCCACAAAGGGAAGCCCATCAGATTAAGAGCAGATCTCTCGGCAGAAACTTTACAAGCCAGAAGAGAGTGGGGGCCAATATTCAACATTCTTAAGGAAAAGAATTTTCAACCCAGAATTTCATATCCAGCCAAACTAAGTTTCATAAGTGAAGGAGAAATAAAATCCTTTACAGACAAGCAAATGCTCAGAGATTTTGTCACCACTAGGCCTACCCTACAAGACATCCTGAAGGAAGCACTAAACATGGAAAGGAATACCCGGTACCAGCCATTGGAACAACATGCCAAAATGTAAAGACCATCGATGCTAGGAAGAAACTGCATCAATTAACTAACAAAATAACCAGCTAATATCATAATGACAGGATCAAGTTCACACATAACATATTAACCTTAAATGTAAATGGACTAAATGGTCCAATTAAAAGACACAGACTGGCAAACTGGATAAAGAGTCAAGACCCATCAGTCTGCTGTATTCAGGAGACCCATCTCACATGCAGAGACATACATAG